ACTCGTTTTAAAGTTGTGAAGGTTGAGAAACACTGATCTAGACACACCTCCCTTCCATCCTACCTCACACCTTTTTTCCCCCCACCCTCCTAATAAGGGCAGAAATCTCCCAATCTCTCACTCCACTGTAAGCTTTAGCATCTACCGATTGCCAGGAAGGTGCTGGGCAAGGCAAACAGGCTTCTTTATCCTGGTGGAGAGACAACTGGCCAACAATCGGAGTCTGTGCTGGAGAATGCAGTGGTTTCTGTCAAGCCCGTTTCCATTTCTTCCTCCCATTTGGCTACCCGAATCAATCTGCTCTTCTCCCCAAACAGCCACAGTACTGCCACTGTAGCCAAGGGATTCTTTCGCTATTTTGATCGATGACTGAAGAAATAAAATCACCACCACCAATGGACACGCAGGGGGTCCACGTCCAAAACCAGAACTCGGTCCCCCTCCCTCTCCCCCTTGTATATAACTCAAGAGAGAAACTTCCCACTCTATTTTTGTGATTCTCCTTTATCCCTAAAGCTGTGTCAATTACTCTTGTCCCCTTCTCTGAAAGATCACGGGACAGGAGTAAAACGCCACTTAAGCGTGATGGTCTGATAGCTGCAAAGTCGGTGTTGTAGCTGTGTTGTGACATGACGCTTCGAGCTGTGTTTGCAACTTAACTGTCAGGTTGGGGAGGGAGATGCAGCAGAGACTGCTGCGTATTACGTCCCCTTCCCATTCTTCAACCTCTTCTCCCCAGAGGTCTATTCCTTTGCCACAAAGGGATCTGGGAAGGACAATTTAAAGTGCTAACTTGGTATCTTTGTTATTTATTCTTGTCTGGAAAGTGCATCCCCCTCGCACACTATTTTTGTGGGAATAGAGGCCTTTCCTATTGCTGTGATTCTGTCTCTCTGTGGATCAAAGTTTCAATGGATCAGTGATGTAAAAGACATAAATAAATAAATAAATAATATATATATATATATTAAAAACCTGAACACTTGCTGGAAAAATGCATGTTATGTCACTGGAGTGAAATCAGTATACACATACAGAGATACTACAGACATATAGCTATGAAGAGAAAGGGGTATCACACCATCAAAATGGAGAAGTGAAGCGATGAAAGCAAGTATGCGTGTTATGGGTGGGGTGGGACAAAGGGGAATGGGATTTCAGGGTGGCTCTTCCATCTATGTGGTCGCTAAGAGCTGACAGTGACTTGATGGTGTGTAATCTATCCCCGCTTGTGAGCATCCCAAACACACACATTGGTCCTGTTGTGATGCAGAATGCTGTGTTAGATGGGTAGTCTAATCTTGATCTGGCAAGACTCTTACTGTATTGTGTTAACTTTGGTCACGTATCCCTAATGGTAAAAATAATAGTTTGCAATGGCCCACATTCTTAAGGAAAGACTTCCTTTCTTTACGCTGAAGCCTGTGAGAGGGAAAAATAAAAAAATAGAGAAAAAAAAATAAAAGTGAAAATAGCCACATTCATGACCTTCAGTTCTAGTTCTGTGAATCAGTTGCACTGGACAGAATGGTTCTTTTGCTTACCTGTAGTCTTGCTTTGCTTATCAGAACTTTTTAAAAAATCCAGAAAATGAGAGTTTAAAACAAATGATTGTTTCTGTAAATGTGTGCACCCACACATTACAGATGACCTAAAACTTGGATTAAAATCTTGCAGTATTTTAAAATTGTACCATGAACACTTATCAGTGATTTAGCTGTTGTATCTAAAAAGAAAAAAAAAACTTCTGGAGGTTACAAACAAGCAGTATACAATCAGCTCCGTGGAGTCTGGTTTGGTTTAATCAGACGGCATTTCCTGGATCCAGTCTTTGTACTACTGATTTTCCAGTATAAAACATCACTTTAAAAAGACATATATTTTTGTATTACTTCTATTTTATAGACAAAATTCCAATGTAGAAAAAATAAGGACGTGCAAACACACCATTTAAAACAGTTGCTTGCTCATTATCGTAGGAAAATGTGGCTTGGTGGCCATTTTTGCAAAGGGCACTCCCATTCGCTGCCGTGGATCACATGATCTACCTTTTTTAAAAAAAAATGGCAGCCATTTAAAATCCAGTAGAGCTTATCCTTAGGCCGTATAACGCTTCAAATAAAATAATTTCCATTAAGAGAATTAGATGCTGTTTTACAATACAAAGCTACGTTGAATATTAACCTTGTGGCAACATTGTAACAAACTAAAAATTAGGCTGCATGTCTGTGACTACACTTCCCATTGTAGGTGTACTGGAGATGTGACAGGGCAGGGAAGAAATGCAGAGCTGACTCAGACAAATATATACAAAAGTAAGTATTTATTTATTATGTTTATATACTGGTGTAATTAAAAGGATTCCTGGAGTAGATCCTATCCTGCTCTGCTAGTTGGTCTGGATAAGGTGGGTTTCTTTGGAAAATAAATACATGGAAAAAGAATGAGCTGTGTGGACTGCCAGTGCAGTTCAAACTCATTAGAAATTACGATAATGCGTAAGCCGAGAACTGTCACAACCAAAATAAATGGTTGACTGAAGTAATCCCCTCCGTGATGCAAGGATACATTTGGGGCTCTCAGCAAAGAAAAGGCAAGTGATGAGGAGGGACATGAGTGAGAGACCTGTATCAAAACGTACATTTTCAGGGGAGAAAATGGACAGGCATCATTTTTTATTAAAGAGTTTTTAAATACAGGTATTCCTTGTTTAGCCACCACAACTGGGACTAGCAACTCGGTTGTTAAGTGAAGCAGTTGCTAAGTGAAGCTGCAGCTGTGCTTATGATCTTACTTCAGCATTCCTTTGCTGAAGTAAGGTTGTAAATGTGAGGATTGGTCATAAAGTTATTTTTCCATCATTGTTATAACTGCAAATGGTCGCCAAACGAGGCAGTTGCTAAATGAGGACTACCTGTATACAACTATTGCCACTGGCATTATAGCAGCAATAGCCATGTACTTACAGTGTAAAGTCTGGTATGTAAAGAAAAAATTAGTCATATACTGTCATGCTAGTCCTTCCTGGGTGAACGAGAGAGCAGTTTAAGAGTCCTTTGTAGGATAAGAAATGCTGAAAATCTGAAAGCAAGATAAGTCTAGCCTCACACTGTACAAGAGCTGTGAGGCCAGGCCATTCTGCTTCCATCTGGTGGCAGGTCTGATTGTGAGTCCTTGCTGGCAAGACAGGAAGAAGAAGCTGTAAAATGGGGTTAGGCTCATCAGAGGCCAGATGTTTCTGAATGCCAGTTGCTGGGAAATACAAATGGCAAAACTCTATGGCACATTTATTTATTCATCAAATTTGTATGCTGCCCAACTCCCAATGACTCTTGTTTATTGTTACCTGTTTATATGGTTTCTGGTGGCAGGTTTGGCCAATGTGAAAAGCAGGATGGTGGACTGACTAGACCTTTGGCTTGATTCAGCATGCTTTCCCGATAGCCAGTGCTCCTTCTTTAGGAATGGCATAGAGAACATGACTTCTTTCCCTTGCTCAGTATCTGTGTCACATCAGTTACCATTACAGGGCTTCCTGCTGCTTTCTCAGACCATTTGTCATGCTTACCCCCACCCCGGCCCCAACTGTTGCAAGTCTCACCAAGTCTACTCTGCATTTTCTTCTTCTGCTCACCCCCAATCTTCTTGACTTTCCACTGGTTTTTCTGCTATTTTACCATCCAAATTCCACTGTCTCCAAGTCCTGCTCACTCTTTCATCCATCTATTTATTCTCAGTCCTGTCTCAAAAGAAGAAAAGAAGTGCAAATGTTTCCTTCATCCACAAAGGGCCCTACAATACCAGGGCATTGTATCGTTGTATCCTCTCATGAAAAAAAATGCTGCATTCTCCCCCTTCTCATCAGAAAAGGAGGCTATGAAACTGAGCCTGTGTTGTGGCACCTCCTGCTGGTGAAGGAAATAGCTACTTTGGTTAATTTTTTAGGTATAACTCCCCCCACATAATAAAATAAAAAAAATGTAAAAATAAAAATTATAAATTTAAATAATGAATTGTTTAAAATTGAAATATAATGCAGTCACTATCAAATTCATAGTTAA